CACGAGATAATAAGTAGTGGCCACGAGCTACAAAGCTGTGCTTACGAGATAATTATGCTGTGCAAACAAAATAATTATCCAATCAGATAAAATTATATAATTATGAAGGTTGTAACCTTAAAAAAAGTCTGGTTAAAATTTTAAATGCAACGTTAATCTACTACACTACTTAAGATATCCACTTTAAACATTGTACATGTATTAAGTATCATAAGAACAGGTCATTATCCAAGACCAATAAATCAGATTTTAATATCTTCTAAGTTTTTCCCTTTGTTAGAAACATCATGTTATAGGATTGATCTTTATGTAGTCGTACGCACTAATGACCTGTTAACCTTTTCCATACCATTACTTGAGAAGAAATTAGCCCTGGTTTATTTTATTTAGTTATTCGTGGCCACGACTTAGTAACTCTTGGATACGACATAGTATCTCTTTCGCACCACTTATTATTTTATGCGCACGACTTAGTAACACGTGTCCACGACATAGTATCTCGTCTGCATGAGATAAATAAAACATACACACACATGTCACTTTTTGTCACCGTACGTAAATCAGCTTACGAACAATTTATGTGAAGAAATATATATTTATATAGCACTTGTTGAAAAGTATGAATGCATCGACTGACTGTTTATGTTAGTTTTCCTTAAGCATAATATACTTCATAAATGTATACAAAACGAGGTATAAGCCAAAAAGTACCTATCCATTGTATATTGCTTAAAGAATAAGAACGTCATTTAATCTTAAATGGAGTAAATAAATCAAAACAACACATTCTATTAATTTCGTCTTTGAAACGAAATGAATATATTCAAATATTACCGTTTAAGCGGTAACGGCAACGACATTAAAATATAAATATAGATCAACGATTCTATGTAAAAAAATGAAATTATTTTTTCAATTAAGAAAAGTTGTAGTACACCCAATATATTTAAATGTAATAGAAAAGATAAGTAATAAAACTAACCAAAAAATAACGCCTTGATACAACAGTTATCAAAAATAATAATGAATATAACCAAAATATCTCTTAACAAAAGAAATTAGTAATGTGAAAAGGCAAACAAGTGAAATATACATGTAGATTTTACATAAACGACGTATCATAAGTCAGCAGGATGTCTGATGGTTACGTCTTTCTATATAGGGAGTCTAGAAATAAATGTTAGCTGCAGATCTTTTTTATTTCCAATTTCTATTTAAATATCATTCATAAACATAATATGTGAAAGAGTGATTCATTCTTATATAATTATTTCTATTATATTTCTTCATAAAAGAATTATCATGGTTTAATATGTAAGAGGGCTCGTTATCAATTTAAGATCAATATACACGTTTTAGTATGCGTTATGTCATGTTTTTTGGTGTGTTTTTTGTATTTTTTATACGCGTATTGCGTATTAACTTATTATCAATATATGAAAATCACTAATAAGCTTTTCTTAGGTTAATTTTTTTCTAATAGTTTTTTTAATAAATGTCTACACGTACATTACTTTTTCAAAATATCTTCAAGTATTTCTGTGTAATTTTGATTATAACTGTATATTCCATACTCATTATGTATAAATCACGATCCCGTTGACTTCAGACAGATACAAAAATCGCATTACGCTAATAACATTATGCATGCTTAAACATTAATGATTATTGTAACTTAGTATAACATTGCAGGTCATTGACTGATTTACATTATCAGCAAATCAATAGTAAATCATTCCTAAGGTAATTAGAAGTGGTCCTGTTTTGTAAAGCACATCCTTTTGTCCCAATATGAAATGACATTCGTTACATGTAATAAGTATTTTATATCCTTTTTAAACATATCAATTTGGCGTTACATGATATGGAAGATAATTGTACATTTTGAGCATTAATGTATATTCTTGCAGGCTCTGGTATTAAGTATTACTTTCATTACAATAATTAAAGCAGCTTGAATGCCTTATCGTTATTTTAATTAATGATTTTACAAGTGTAAGGAGCGGAATGATAGTTTTTACGTGAATACAGCGTTTACATACCTTATTTACTTATTGAATATATCACTGTGATCAGACATTTAATAGGTCATGATTATTACATACACAAAATAATTAATATAATGACAATCTTTGGAAATTTGTTATTATAAATAACAATCACTGTGTCAAAATATATCATAACAAACTTTGACGGTAGTACTATAAAACTACTTGAGTGAATCACACAAAATGACTTATTCTTGTTCCTAATCTGTAATTCAAGTTTAAGTCTTTAAGGTAGGCTGTATGAGATATCAGATAACTATTATGAACACTGCCGAAATAAAAACCTGACAATATTTATAAATGTATGAAAAATTGTTAAACAAATGAAGATAAAGCATCAATGAAAGTTATTAAAAAAAACTTTGTACATGTAAATAGTAAATAAATAAATAAAAAAACCCCACAAAAGTCTACCCACTTTCCCCGTTCTCCCCCCCCCCTCCAAATAAAAAGAAATCTTTCAAATGACCTTTATCCGCATGTATTATTGCCATACCGTTAAATCGAGTTTATAACACAAATAACGGGAGTATTGATAATTACCCTAGAGATAACCTCTACTATGGTGCCAAATTACCGCACGGACTTTCAGTGATTAAATGAAAAATGTGCTCATCTTATGCTATAACCAATGAGTGTTTTTCACTGTTTCGCAATGTAAGTTATAAGTTCCTGGTTTAAAGGTATGATAACCCCTTTCTGACTTATCTTTATGTGTGATCTTTGTGGGCAACATGTCCAGGTTTCCACAACAATAAACGTGTCCACTGCTAATCTAACATGACCCCACTCCCTCTTAATAAAGAAGAAGAAGGAAAGCAAAAAAAAAAAAAATAAATAAAAAATAAAAAATAAAAAAATAAACACACAAACGAAAAACAACTCTCAAGGTGTTTATATACGTTATGCTTCAAGTCTTTATTTACTTCAAATTTATAGTTTGTGTATGATTTTGCAAAATTAAATTATAGTTTGCTTAATTATGTAAATATTTATAATAATAAACATTCTACAGACTTTTTGAAACTCTACATGTGTGCTCTGTAAAACTTTCAATCGGAATTCAGCAATGATTATTATCTTGACTCTCATATTACTCGAAATTTGTGTTGGTAAATCATATACATTATAAATGTACGAATAAAAAATTATATCCAATTTATAAGAAACATTTCTAAATGACAAAAAAGAAAGGCAATGATATAATGGTGGTTTACATTATTATTAAATGGTGTGCACACTTGTATAATTCAATATAACAATAGAAAGGGTGAGAAAAAAAAAACGTCCGTTTTTACCAGTTTTCTCTTTTACGATGTAACTGATCAAAAAGTACTTACCGTTCAAACAAATATATATAACAAAGATTTTCTATACATCGATTATACGCCGTGAGATCCGCAAAGCTTGTTGCAAAAATATTAAGTAAAGTATTTCTTCACCTTCATGTTCTAAATTTCGTCGTTATTCTGGATTTGATGATAATAATGCATTTTTAAACATTTAAATCCTCTGCAGCCTAGCCTTTAAATATTGAGGGATAATGCCATTTCTCCGTCCAGTGTTGGGTATTATTTATAGTACATTAATTAATATGACACACATCGTAGGTTCTAACTTAGCCTAAAACCTACGATGTGTGACGTATCAATTAATGTATTATTTAAGATCTCCAGCACGGCATTATTGTTGGGGCATCCGTGGCCGAGTGGTTAAGGTCGCAGACTTGAGATTATAGGTCCCTCACCGCTGTAGGTTCAATCCTCACTCTGGTTGAAAGCTTTCATGTGAGGAAGCCATCCAGCTGGCTAACGTTAGGTCGGTGGGTCCACCCAGGTGCCCCTCGTGCCTGAAATAATGCCTGGAGGGGCACCTGGGGTCTTCCTCCACCAATAAAAGCTGGGAAAAATCGACGAAAAATCTCAACGGGACGCTCTAGAATGGCCCGACTTGAGTGTACGGTCGCCCATATGGGCTTTCCGGCGACCTTTAATAAACGCATCAACAACTATTGTTTTGAGTGCACGTCTTTGGTAGTTTAAATCTATGTTATGCAGCCTTCATAACCTTACATCCCCCTTTTATCATAGAACATTCAAGAGGAGAAGTAAGCGCACTTCCGCGAAAAGCGGCATAAAATTATGGTCCCAGGTAAACAGTGCGTGTGCCCTAAAGGAGAAAACAATGGATGGGCGGGAACTGAATAAAATTGAATTTTGATGGGATGTAAGGTTATGAAGGCTGCATATTAACATAAAATAAAAAGCTAGAAAGAAGGCAACTTATACTAAGGGTGGTTCAACATTATTTAAGTGAGGTATATTGGAACCATCCGACTAGGAAAACAAAACTAAGAAGACTTTAAAGTACCAAACACGTGCACTCACAGCAATACTATTTTGCTGGACGGTCTTCAATGTTCGAATATATATCTTTGATTAAATATACGGGAAGACTTTTTACAGCCGCTCAAAACCACTAAAAATTATGCAAATAATGCCTCTATGGTCAGGAGTGCCCCCGATGATTGGGGGTCACAAAATTAAAAAATTAGTACCAATAACGTTACTAGCGTTTTATTTGCTGTCTACTGCATTAAGCGAAACGCGTCAATAATAGTGTCGAAGATAAAATACTTTGTTGAACTTTCAATGTGTATATAATGTATAAATCATATAGCACGAATATTTTGTTATTTGAAATAAAAACGATATAAATGAATAGAAATATTGATATTTTTATCAACAAAATCAAAATAAAAGCTTTTGCTTTTAATGTGACTATTCAATTATATTCAAACAAATATACTTGTGAAAAGTATCGTCGAAAGAAAAGTGGTAGTATAGTGATAGGCTGTATGGTATAAACTAGGGTCAAGAGAAGGTCAAAATGGCTTGAATTATGATAGCAAAACGAGATATTGCCTCAATTAGTGCAGTTTCAGTAATTCATCAGAGGAAGATTTGCGAATAAAATCCACAAGCTTTTGAGAACTTTTATAAATATTTTAAAATATATTTTATAAGATATATCTATATACAAATAAGATTAATGAGTCCTGAATTTTAAAAGTTACTAAACATTCAAAGGATGCATTATGTTTCTTTATTCACATTCAATGAATTTTATCATTTCTAAGAGTACAAACCGCTCGTGTACGGTATTTAAACTATTAAAATGCCAACTTCTCACGTAGGATCGTTGTTTTGCGATATTGTTTGGTGTACATGTAATGAATAACATGCAATATATTGTTGAAACGGAGCATTAGGACGTTTGTAAATATCACGGCGTTTTACAATGATACCAGTCATAGACACTATTGTCAAATACTTTAATCTGACTGTTTCATAATCGTTTTTCATGTACAATTTTTTTTTCTTTTGACCTGGTGTAAATAAGGCATTGACTGTATTTGACCCGAACTTCAACATCGTCTTCTGTACTTGCACGTTAATTTAGAAACCATAAATCTGACCGGATGATAAGCAGGTTATTTGAAAAACTACGGGTGTTAGCAAAATATACATAATAAAACATATACATTTCAATGTTGGAATGACATTTAGCACATTATAGCGTGTGAAACATGTAAATATGATAAATGTCTTTATTTTATTGTAGAACGGATGTCAAAATTAGTTAGATATTAAGTCGTATACTGCAGCCTGTAATAACGTGACACCGTACTTACAGACATTTGTGGTGCAATCGTAGAAGAAACTTGAGAATATACCAGGTACAAACTAAACAAGTAGAGATTTTGATGCTAAAGCATCAAGTCGCCGGATAGAAAATGACTGTATTATCATAAATATAAGAAAATATCAGTTCAATGGTTCAAGTATAAAGAAAAGAGGAACAATATGTTGAGTAACTGTTTATTCACATTAAAACATCATATATAAAGCAAACTTGCTTAGCAATATTGTCAAGGAACTGCTATGATTATTAAATAAGCAAGTATTGTCTGGCAATATTGACCTAATATTGCCCTGAGACTCATTAATTTTCGGGAGGTGTTTCGTTAGTTTACGTAACTTATTATGATTTATGCTAAAGATTTTATTGATAGTATAGATCTCGATATTAAATCAATTAATATTGCTCGATGGCCTACAGGTGGTAAGTAGGACGAAGTTGTGACCTAGTAGGCCAAGTCCCAATCTTTGAAAATCCCTTTTGCAGTTTTCATAAAACTATTTTTTTTATTATTTTCTGTTAACTATATGAAACATAAGTTGTGTGTTTCATTTCTAGCATTTTTTTTATTTCATAATTTTGATTTTTAATTTTGTAAGGCGAGTGATATTCATGTAATTCTACTTGTAATTCTACCTTATACATATACCAGACACCGAAATCCGTTTATTATAGTTCAGAATCCGATAATTACCGCCAAATAATCAACGGTCATCGAATATTTGAATATATATATATATATTAATTATTGCATGAAACAATGCAATTCTACCGTAAAAGTGGTATCTGCATAATTTTTTTTTGCGCTATCGAAAAAATAAATGATTTAGTTGAAATCAATATTCCTGTCGTTACATACGATATAGTAAACGTTTAATTGCCTTTCAGTTCGATAAAATATTAACAAAAAGATATTTTATTAGTTTTCTTTATTATGTATCTAATTCATCCGTCATACCGTTTTGGTAACCTGCGCGACGGAAATCGACGGAATATAACGAAGACGACGATTACCACTATTTATTTCAATAAATGTGCCTCTTTCGCATAAATCTATTTTGTGATGTTCAACCTAAACTAAACTATTGAACGTTGACAAAAAGGGCCAAGTTTAACCCTTTACCAAAAAAAAAAAAAAAAAATGAAAAGGTTTTGAAAACTTATTTAATTCTTTAATGTGCAAATATTATGAGTACATTGTATACAGATCTTTCTAGTGATATAAAATATGAAACTGATTAATGAAAGATAACTTTGTAATTATTTATACATATGCATCTAATCAGACGCCATACCGTTTTCCAACTAATCATATGTCTTATCAGCAATCTGTTACTATTAATAGATTCTATAACACTGACATACAACCTGTAGTCACGTGATTCTTACAATAGAACAGGGAGAATCTGTTTATAATTAGATAAAATAATGAAATATAATAGGTCTCATAAGATATAAACAACCAAATAATTTAAATGTGTCATTTCAAATATCATTCATGATTTATCAATCATAAAATAGCAACGCTTGTCACTTAGAAAATAAGTAAAAGTATCCCTAAATTCAATGACTGGTCCATAGGGATACGTTATTAATTCATTTTATGAAAATTGTAATGTGGCTTTTTAAGATGTCAATATTTGTATATTTCATTTCATTTACCAATGTTACTTTATTTTTGAATTTTTAAGATTATGAAAAATAATTGTGGTCCTTAATTGTTCAGTAATTGATTTGCTTTTATATTCAGATTTTAAGGGCTTCTCCTACCATAGATATAATATTAAACTGTTACAAATATAGTCGCCGGTTTCTACCGGCGACTAATAAACGTTCGATTATTTAGCGTTGAATTTATAACGGTAGCTAGCACCATGTAAAGTAAGCAAACATTATTCATTTAACATAATTCATCAAAAATAGTTGTATTCCAAGGGTCCTTATATCAATCCTAAATTAAAACACTTGCCTTAATAACAAATGTAAAAACGAATTTTTAGTAATATGTTTATCTTTGAAAAAACGTACATAAAATTCTTGTTTCTAGATTTCTTATCTTACATTTTGATAAACTATTGGGATAAAACTATCTTATAACCGTAAATAATTAAGTTTCAATTTATTATATTATCATTACAAATGTAACTGACTATCAAAATCCTGAAATAATATAAATTGGACATTTATGTTATTTTCATCTCCTGTCACAGAATAAATAGTGCTTTATATTGACAAAGTACTAATTGAAAAGAAACAAAAACACAATTAGGAATTGTATATTTATAAAGCTTGAATAAATAAATGTTTCACAACAGCTTGTTGCTTTTCCAATAATAATATTGATAAAGAGATCGAGCAACGTGCTTCAAAGGCGGGGTATGTAAATAAAAGATTCATTTTAATTTCTACACATTCAATTATTTTGTAAATGTATGAAGTTAAACTTTTATTGTTTGTATGCATTCAAATTACGACATTTTAATATTTGATGATACAGCCACATTCTTTATATGTCAATCAGAGAATGAGTTAACTTAGCGTATTCTTATACTAGTTATTTATTTATAATACATTTTATAGACGTTGGTTATTAAGCTGTCACAACATATTACTCTGTTATTTAGATGCCCGCCTGTTTCCTATTGTACAAATAGATATCGAACATACAAAAACAGTGTAACAATATTGCAATGTTTAACATTGTACATACATTGTTTGTTGTAGCCCGTCTTACCTATTTCTTAATGTACATTTATTGTTAGAAGATCTTTTTTTTTGTCTTTAACTGATTTTTTTATATTTCTAAAGTAGTACAAAAAACACCTTAAAACTGTAAACATAAAGACTGCTTGCTTTTCTGTAATGTTTTGGAATGGATAGATCCCTTAAAAGCACAAAACTATACAAAATGTGAAACTCGCAGACTATGTAAATTAAGTCTGTCCTCATAGCTATGTAGAACTGTTCTAAATATGTCACTTTCTCACACCGGTCAGATTCTACATTTTTCTGGAAACTTAAATATACAAGTAGGTTTGTTTATATTTATACCTTCGAAATTTGACCATGAATTCTCCAAACAGATTTTTTAAACAATAAATAGTATTTTCTGATATTAACAATATTTTGCTTGTATTTCTTACTTATGCATTGTGCAATTAATTAAAAACATTTTAAAACAGTATATTACTTTCCTCCACCACACAGTCTTTAACTTAAAGATAGGCTAAAACCATTATATTTATTACACACAATTTGATGAAATTTTTGCACAAGAAGCCGATATGATAAGAAAAAAAGGTTTGTTAGAGAAATGTATATGTCTGCTGTTCGTGCAAACAGATAAACGAAAATGTGAATATAATATGCGGTTGTTATGCTAAACAGAATGATACAGAGCATAATCAACGAATGCAAAACTTAATATGATTCAAAAATAAAAACATGCCATAATTTTATGTAGTAGATGCAGGTACATATGACTAATACTCGAATTTTGAAAACCATAATATATTACCAAAAGACGTGCACACTATTGCAATGTAACATGATAACGCTCAACATTACATATATATTTTTAAATATCATATTAAATACAATATTATTTCCAGCATATTTCAAGACATTGAATAAAGTTATACAGGTACTCATCAATAAATTATGTTATGTACGTTAAGAGTTTTGAAAAATACAAGAATTCAATTTATCAGTTTTTCCATGAAACGAGCACAATACCGGTATTTCGATAAAAATGCGTTAACCTTAACATGATTTTATTTATGTATTTTTCTAGACAAGGAAAGTTGTTATACTATGTCATAATTATAATTCATAATTAATCTTGATAAAATAAACACGTTTTTTGTGCTAAATTAACGATAAGAATTATGTCTAATTATTCCAACTATATTTAAGATTAAAAAATCTTCTATTATACGATTGTGCTTTTGGTATTTTCATGTTCCGAACAGATTCAGCATTTATGTAATGGCAGATTTAACCGAAGTATGACCTCTCAACAACTGCGATTTGTAGCAGCCCAGACTGTTTCATATTCTCAAGGAATAGAACATATGTGTTATGTAAAATGTATAAGTGTGTGTACTAACACAACGTAATATAACAATGAATCACAGTGACGATTCGAATTAATAAGCAAAACATTACAATGAAAAATGGCTATTGAAACTTCAAGGAGGTTATTGAGTTGTGCTTGGGAATTCGTTAATTAATCAGGTATTTATATAGTTTTGTATACATTGATTATAACATTTCCCTCTTTGTATTTGTATTAACATCACAGAATTATTACCTTTATTTCATAAGAATTTAATTAAGGTTCTTAAATATTGTTTCAGTTTAGGCACCTCTCTTGCATTGACATGCAAATGTGTGCCATGCATTTTAATAAAAAATCGTAACGATAATTCAAATTGTTGTATTTCAATTGCTCTAACCTTATTATTATTACAATTTTACATTTATTGCACTATACACAAACAATTTTAAAACTTAAACAAACATAATAACTTTAAGCATGTTATAAGACTTTATAGATTATTTCTAATATATCCATATGATATTTATTGTTAATGTTTGTTTGTCTTGCATATAATGATCCTTTATTGATGTTTTGACTGGTTCCAATTTGTCCGAATAAAAAATAACATTCTAAATCTATTATTAATCCTTGCAATAAATCAAATAGATAAAATTATATCTACTTGAAAACCCCGTTATGCTTAAAATGTATGTCACATGTATTTCACACACAAATCAGAGGTAAAAAAATGAATATTTCAGATTGAGTATGTGATACATACACATTTTGTGTCAGTCCTAAAGTGAGTGACAAGTTTCCAAAAAAATACATACAGTCATGTGTTTCATTTGTGTCAAGCAATTTGATCGTTTAAAACTTTTGAATAAATGTATGACTTATATTATTATATTAAAGAAAGCAAAGAATATGATGAGGAAAAATGCAATGAAATTGTTCATTTTATTTTTCAGATTTAAGAAGAAAGAAAATTTCTAAAGTGGTTTGACATTAAACAAATCAATAAGATGATACTGGATATTAACATAAAAAGGCGTCAAATAAGGAGTAACCATGAAATACGGATAAAAAACAAGTGATGCATCGGAACAAACGCGAACACTTTTTGAAAGTGCAATGAGGACATCTGGCATAATCATTGAAGTTGCTGAAGTGATTTTGATATTCTCAATTCATCATGTTTCAACTACAGATTTTTTTTCAAAGAATTAAACTTATCATTTGATTTTGCTAAAATATAATTCCGGGAAATGTATAAATATGTCTTATCAGTGCTTTGAGTTTTGTGTAATATAATATTGCGCAATATTACAATATTTGATAAGTATGAATTTCTGAGACATATTGTGCCATAAACTTCTGTTTGTTCATAATCTTTGGTATTAAATACTTAAAGGCACGTCATGCCTCAAAAATGTTGTGCTGTTAGTTTTATTTAGGTTTGGTATCTTGTTACCGTTTCATAAAAAATAGTACTCACTCATTGTCCATATAGAACAACTTTGTGATATATTATGGGACATATTGTGCCTTCAACCTTTTTACAATTTTGATACTAGCTTTTAAAATCCAATATCTTTCTTTCATAAATATCTTTTCTTTATATGTTTGATATGTTTCAATGTTCAAATTGATTTTTTTTTTTTGTTTCTGATTTTCGATATCATTTAGGAAATTAGATATGAGATCAGAATTCTCCATAAATAATTTATTTGTTATTTCTATTACATTTGATGAATGTTCAGTAATACCAACTTTGTCTTTTTTGTGTTTGTTTCAGTAACAATGCATGCAATTTTATGACAAAAAATGAAACTTTAATCTCTTTCTATGCTATGCATATATTTTATTGCAAGTTAAATGATTTCTTTTTTCTTTGAAAAAAATAATTAAACACAGAAAAACACACAGACAACATGAAAAATGATCTATGAAAACATATCATTGAACAGGACTAACATTGTATATATAAACAAAGCAACCTGGTTTAAAACGGCCGAGCATTTTTAAGATACTTTCGTTGTTAGATAAAATTAATAGTTTAGTTTCATTTTCAGTTATGTATCCGTTTTTTTTATTTAATTTTAACTTGTGTTACATAATAGTTATCATAAAGTTAGAAATGTATATCTTATTATATCATTTTTAAAACGCATTTATTCTTTTTAATGAAATACCTGAAGATAGTGTAGAACTTCTCACAATTTGTGTAATAAATCAACTTAACGTTTAACTTTCATTATTTCAGCGTAATGCGTAATGAATGGACTATTAGTGCTAGCATTTCTTAGGTCAGTGTATTTATTGACTTCTAGCGAAAATGATTAATGTGAAATCGACTGTCAGTAAAATGGACATTATTTTACAACTAAAGAGATTGTACGATTAGCCTAGAATGAAAGCTTATTAGTTTAGCAACCTCTTTGAGTAAAGATATTTTAGAACATTGAATAATCACTTTTGGAACATACAGTTATCTGTTAAATGTCTGCATAATCTTGAATATTATTTCAAAATTATTAACAGTTGAAGATGTGTCATATTACCATAAAATCGTTTGAAATAAAACGTTGGTTGAGTGAGATCTGTCTTCTTTCTGAACCGGGTTATATAATTATGATATTTACTCATCATTAAAACAATAGATTTTCATGACACAAAAATCACACCATCTCATATATTATTGATAATGATATACCGCATTTTTATTACATTTTAACCATTTGATGTTTTTATCACATTTCAATTCACTTTATATTACATCACTAACATAATTTATCTTATTTTATCTTTATTAATTCATTTTATTTATTTATTTATTATTAATTTATTTATGCATTTATATTTATTCATTTATTTATTTACTAGTATTCATATTGTTATTTATGTATTTACTTATATTTACTTATTTATTCATCCCTTTATTTATTTGTTTGTTTATTTATGAATAATTAAAAAAGTAAAAATCTTCCTATCATTAAATTCTTTATTAAATGCTTTACATGTATTTTACGAGTAAATTACCTGTTCATTTTGTTAAAACTTAAAAAGAAAAGGAGCTTATCTTTCAGATATTTGTCACTTCAAATAATTTATCGATGCCCATACTGTATAAATGGGTAATTTGGAAACACATCCCGGTAAATATAACAATTATATTGTTAGAACGCAATATGTTTTCTGATATTTATTTTAAGACTTCTAAGCATAGTTACTGTAGTAAAATGAGAAAAATAGTATGACATTATATCATTATTCTAAAAATAACTGACTAATTTTTTCTCATTTTAATGTCATCATCATTATTATTATTATTATTTTTTTTTTTTGTTATCATTATTATTTAATTATCTAAATAGATATTATATTTTTGCGCAAGTATTTTTTTCTAAAAAAGGTGATAATTGATGTTTATAATGATTAAACTTTAGGTAAATGGATAAGTATTTTATATAAATAGATAGCTGATTGACAATAATATGTAACTACTAGCTTAAAAAAATATAATATCAATATCAGTTTTAGATAGCTTTTAACTATTTTCTTCTTACTTTTGTTGTTTACTTACTACATATTTTCATTGTAACAATATGATGTATGATGGAAAATGTTAAATAAAGTAACGAATTGTCACAAAAATAAAACAAATGTTTGAGTTATATTATTACTATCCATTTTGTCGTTGATCACATCCTCTTCAATAAAACAGGGGTAAACCATATATCATGCAACATTTTCATCTCAATAAATAACAATCAAAGGCAAAGATCATACTAACGTACGAGGAATGCGATGAAAAATGTATCATGTATATTCATTTAATTGAACAGTATTAGTCCATATGCCCGCACTATACTAATTACGGAGAATGAACTGCATTAATGACGGTATTACTTATCCTTTTAAAAGTATAAGAAATACATTCTTCTATGTATGCGTATATGTGTTCATCAATTAACACCGAACAACGATTTCCAACATTATCGTTCGAAAAAAAGATAAAGGGATATCGTCTGCAAACGGACAGGTACAATGCGTTTGAGGTTTAAAAGATAGGAGAATTATTCCCCTAAGTCTGCCAACACTCTATCTCTCTTGCTGCATGTAAATTTGTTGCTAAAAAAGTGCCTTTAGGTAGACCCCCGGAAAAAGGACATCTGGAATTTCCTTTTTTATTCTGGAACGCATTTTAAAATTATTTTATTCGTTACATCTAAAATGTTCCCTTCTTGAAACATGATAGGATCATAAAACATTCAAGGGTGCTGCTATCAGTAATACAGTGACAAGCCGTGTAATTATAATTAAATGCTCATCACTGACCAGAGATAGGAAATTTTGGGGGAAAACTGGAAATCTTGGGTTTATGCGTAGGACTTATTGAATTCTCAACAAAGCTCTTAACGTAAATTACATTATTTATTGATGAGTACCTATAGAAGATCATTGTACTATCTTATTCCATGTGAAACAATTAGTGTATTTAATATTGGTGTGATCGATTGGTAACATTTTATCGTTTTCAAAATTCAAGTATTAGACATATGTACTTGCATTTACTACATGAAAGAATTGCGGAACATTTTTAATATTCAGTTATGTTAATTTGTCTCCTTGTTGATTTTACTCTGTATCTTTCTGTTATGTAGCATAATATATTCACATTTTCGTGTATCTGTTTGCACGGATAGCACATACGTTTCTCTTGCAAACGGTTATTCTTATCGGCCTCTTAAAATAATTAACCTATAGTGTGCAATAAATATACATATAACGGACAGACGTTTAATAATTGTGATTGATAACGGTAATAATGAAAGATTTAAACCTTTTTCATTCATTTTTATTCAAACACACAATTACAAATATTGCTTATACTATCTCAATACAATTATGATAACACAAGTTTGGTTTTATACAGATGCATGTACACATGAATTTCGTAAAAGCACACTAGGAACATTGTAAAAAACAATTCAAATTCAATGAGTCAGAATATAAAATGATAGGACTTTTTCGAAACAAAATTTTGACTGGCCCTTACAGGGTTATTATGTTATGGTATCGACAAGATATCGTTTCGCCTCACCATAGGCAAAGTAGAAAATATACATTGCTTGTTTTAAAAATATTCAAAAACTAAACATCACATTTGAAGATTGTTTTTTTCTCAATATATGATACTTAGAATTAAACACTTCTGAATCCGACACATATAAGCGGGATCTATACTCAAATATAATCATCTGATAATATTCTAAGTATGCAAACAAAAGAAAAGATTTATCCTGCAAAATTGATATAATAATAAGTAAAATGTGTAAATATTTTATAATTGCATTTAATTATACAGCGTGTGTAAAAAATCAAGCAAAATGTTGCTGTTATTCTATGTGTTGTCATGTATAAGACTGGATGGTGGCCGAAATTGATATACTGTTTTAAAATATCTGTAATTTATTGCACATGCATAATTAAGAAATAACAGAAAAATATTGTTTATATCTGAATATACTGTTTATTGTTCAAAACTCTGTTTGCAGAATTCATGGCCAGATTTCGAGGGTAAAATATAAACAAACCTACTTGTATATTTAAGTTTCTAGAATATAACTCGTATGTTATGTAAGAATCTGGCCGGTGTAAGAAATGTGACATGTGTAGAACAATTCTAAATAGCTATTAGAACAGACTTAATTCACATAGTCTGCGAGTTTCACTTGTTTATAATTGTGTGCTTTTGAGGGATCTATCCATTCCAAAACATGCAATTGTTATGTTTTCAGTTCTTTGGTAGTTTTATACCACTTTAAAAAGATAAAATATTCTGTAAAAGACAAATGAAGATCTTCTTACAGTAAACTTACAATACGAAATGAGAAAGACGGGCTACAATAAACAAAGTATGTAACGTGTAAAACATTGCAATATTGTTACACTGTTATTTGTTTAATAGGAAACAGGCCGAAATCGGACGGAATGGGCATCTACAAAACGGAGCGAAATGTTGTGACAGCTAAATAACCAACGGTCTACAACATATACACACTAGTATAAGAATACGTTAATTACACTCCACTCTATCTAAGAACATACCATGATTATCGTTTTTACAGAAAATCAAGACATTAATTGTACTAATTGCCATACTAAGAATGTGACTGAGTCATCAAATATGAAAATGTTGTGATTGGATGCATAAAAACAATACAATTTAACTTAATACATTTACAGAATAATTGTGTAGAAATCAAACGAATATTAAATTTACATACTATGCCTTTGTTGCACGTTGTGCGATCCCTTAATCAATATAATAATTGTTTTTTTTTATTTTACCCATGAAATATGGTGCTATATCAGTCAAATATATTTCATATTTTTTAAAAATAAAAATGAAATATAAATATGAAACTGGGCCGTCCCGGCTCGTGAAAATATGTGGCATTTTATCATGTTTCGTGAAAATATATTCCATATTTCACTCAAACAAAAAAAATCCTCTTAATATTTGTAACATATTATTGTTTGAAACGTTGGGTTTTGAAAAACAACAAGCTGTTGTGAAACACTTAATTTATTCAAGCTTTATAAATATACAATTCTTATTTGTGTTTGAGTGTTTTGATGCACTAAGTGGACTGTTTATTCTACTTTTCACTAATATGTGTTATAATGAAAACAAATAACTATATTTTCTTTCGTACATAATATCCTTGAAACACAACCGCTATCCATTATTTTGTTTGAGTACAGACTATTGTCATAATTATTTTAAATACACATCCCGGAATAAACACAGACAGAATCGCACATATGAGTTCTTAATATTCTGCCAAGACAAGTACAAAGTAACAGAAAATGTAAATTTCAACTCTCAACTCAAATGACTATCTGAAATAAAACTTTTTTCACACGTCATCCAGTTTTTTAGTTTGTTTCAAGGAAAACTGAATCTAAAATATGACCATTATACATATACTGTATATATAAATATATAAAGTGTTCTTTTTTTTTCGGGGATACCATTATCAACCGTTTATGAGCCTCTTCCAATTATTGACGGTTATAAGCTACAGTTATAAATTTGAAGCTGAATAACGAGACATTTATACAGCGTGTGCCTAATATATTTTCAATTTTCTTCTACGATTGAACCACAAAAGATATATTTATATCATATGAATTTAAATATTGTGTCACCTTATTACACGCTGCAGTTTACAAGTTCAC